TTTCTATTTTTTGAGTTTTCAAATTTTGGATTTTTTGATGTTTCGGTTATTGTATTTTTAAATTTCCGGATATTTTATATTTTTTACTGTTTTAGTTTTCCGATTTTTAAATTTTAGTTTTCTCAATTCGCCGATTTTTCATTTTTTAATTTTTCGAATTGTTATATTCTAGATTTTTCAATCTTTTGATATTTCGTTTTATTGATCTCTAGATTTTTCGATTTTTCGGTTTCTAAATTTTTCCATTTTTGAATTTTCCGATTTCTCGATTTTTCAAGATTTCAATATTTCAATTTTTCGATTGTTCAGTTTCGTTATTTTTCAATTTTTCGTTTTATCGATTTTCTAAAATTCTTCAAGTTTTAATTTTTCGAATTTTCGATTTTGGGAGATTTCTAGTTTTTCTGATTTTTCCGATGTTTCAGGTTACGGATTTTTCAATATTTCGATTCTTAGATTTTGCAACTTTGGATTTTTTCGTTCGGTTTTTCTATTTTTCAATTTTCTACTTTTTAAAATTTTCGATTTTTCCATTTTTTTCATTTTTCGAAATTTCAATTTTGTGGCATTTGAATTTTTTAATTCTTCAATATTTTTATTTATCGTCTTGATTTCTTGATGTCTTACATTTTCAATTCTTCATTTTTTTTATTTTTTAAGTTTACTTTTTCGGCCTTTTTCGACCCTCGTCCTTTTTCGTTCTTCGTCCTTTTTCGTCCTGTTTCGTCCTTTTCCGAACTTCGTCCTTTTTTGTCCTTTTTCGTCCTTCGTCTTTTTTCGTCTTTTTTTGTCCTTTTCGTCCTTTTTTGTCGTTTTTCGTTCTTCGTCCTTTTTCGGTCTTTTTGTCCTTCGTCTTTTTAATCCTTTTTTGACTTTCGTCTTTTTAATCCTTTTTTGTCCTTTTTCGTCCTTCGTCTTTTTTCGTCCTTTTCGTCCTTTTCGTCCTTTTTCGTCCTATTTCGTCCTTCGTCCTTTTTCGTCTTTCGTCCTTTTTCGTCTTTTTTCGTCCTTTTGTCCTTCGTCTTTTTAATCTTTTTTTGTCCTTTTTCGTCCTTCGTCCTTTTTCGTTCTTTTTCGTCCATTTTCGTCCTTTTAGTCCTTTTCGTCCTTTTCATCCTTTTCGTCCTTTTTCGTCTTTTACGTCCTTTTTCGTCAATTTTCGTCCTTAGTCCTTTTTCGTCCTGTTTCGTCCTTTTTCGTCCTTCATGCTTTTTCGTCCTTTTTCGTTCTTTATCGTCCTTTTCCGTCCTTTTTCGTCCTTTTCGTCCTTTTTCATCCTTTGTCGTCCTTTTTCGTCCTTTGTCCTTTTTCGTCCTTTTTCGTCCTTCGTCCTTTTTCGTCCTTTTTGTCTTTCGTCTTTTTAATTCTTTTTTATCCTTTTTCGTTCTTTTCGTCCTCATCGTCTTTTTTCGTTCTTTTTCGTCCTCTTTCGTCCTTTTTTGTCTATTTTCGTCCTTCGTCCTTTTTAGTCCTTTTTCGTCCTTCGTTCTTTTTCGTCCTTGGTCCTTTTTCGTTCTTTTTCGTCCTTTGTCGTCCTTCGTCCTTTTTCGTCCTTCGTCTTTTTTAGTCCATTTTCGTCCTTGGTCCTTTTTCGTCAATTTTCGTCCTTTGTCCTTTTTCGTTTTTTTTTCGTCCATTTTGGTCCTTTTAGTCATTTTCGTCTTTTTTCGTCCTTTTCGTCCTTTACGTCCGTTTTCGTCCTTTGTCGTCCTTCGTCCTTTTTCGTCCTTCGTCTTTTTTAGTCCATTTTCGTTTTTGGTCCTTTTTCGTCAATTTTCATCCTTAGTCCTTTTTCGTCCTGTTTCGTCCTTTTTCATCCTTCGTCCTTTTTCGCCCTTTGTCCTTTTTCGTTCTTTTTCGCCCTTTTTCGTCCTTTTACGTCCTTCGTCCATTTTCGTCTTTTTTTCGTCCTTCGTCCTTTTTCGTCCGTTTTAGTCCTTTTTCGTTCTTTTTCGTCCTTTTTCGTCCGTTTTAGTCCTTTTTCGTTCTTTTTCGTCCTTCGTCCTATTTCGTCCTTTTACGTCCTTTTTCGTCCTTCGTCCTTTTTCATCCTTATTCGTCCTTTTCGTCCTTTTTCGTTCTTCGTTCTTTTTCGTCCTTTTTCGTCCTTAGTGCTTTTTCGTCCTTGTTCAGTTTCTACATTTTTCCTTTTATCGATTTTCTAAAATGTTTCAATTTTTAATTTTTCGATTTTTGGCTATTTCTGATTTTTCCGATGTTCCAGTTTGGGGATTTTTCAATATTCTTCGATTTTGAAACTCTCTGTTTTTTCTTTCGATTTTTCAAGTTTCTAGTTTTTAGAATTTTCGATTTTTCGGCTTTTCAGTTTTTAAATTTTTCTATTTTTCAATTTTTTGATTCTTCAATATTTCGATTTGTCATATTGATTTCTCGATGTTATTTTCGATTTTTTAACTTTTCAATTTTTCGATTTTTTGATGTTTCGGTTATTCGATTTTTCAATTTCTGGATATTTTAATCTGCCGATTAAATTAAATTTTAGATTTTTCGAATTCCAGACTTTTCGATTTTTTCAGTTCGTCAATTTTTCTATTTTTTAATTTTTCAGTTTCTCGATTTTTCAATTTTCCAATTTTTTGTTTTGTGGATTTTCTAAAATGTTTTAATTCGATTCGATTCTGGGCGACTTCGATTTCACGACTTTTCGATTCCTGGTTTTTTTGATTTTGAAGTATTTTCATTTTTTAAATTAGACCTTTTTTGATGTTTTAAACCTCAAATTACGATTTTTTGATTTTTCGATTTCCCAATTTTTGATTTTTTTATATTACAATTTTACGATTTTTCGAATTTTGGATTTCTTGACATCCAGGCTTCTTAAATTTTTTAAATTTTAGGTCTTCGATATATCGGCTTTTCAATTTTTCAACTTTTAATTTTTGAAATTTTTCATATTTTCATATGTCGATTTTTCGTTTAATCGGTTTTTTAATACTTTTCCATTTTTAATCTTTCAGTCCTTCAATTCTGGACAGTTTCGACATTTCAACTTCTCGATTTTTTAGCTTTCCAATTTTTCAATGTCTCTATTTAGGAATTTTTTAATTTTTCGAATTTTAGATTTTCCGACGTTTCGGATTTCAATTTTTCGGTTTTTCAATTTTACAATTTGAAAACATAAATTTCAGAGAAGCTGTATCTGATACGTTGTACTTCAGGCGCAAGGGAAGTTCTTACGAAATACCCTTCGACCATTTATTTTCCACTCAACAGAAATGCTAAATGAAAAATACGTAGAATAACAAGTTGTGGTCAGTTTTCTTTTTATATAGGCAACACATAATACACCTGTGTGTACTCCTTACTAATATCAACTTTCTGGTTAAAAAATAATAATATTCTTTCTTTTTTTATGTATTAATGAGCTACTCAGAAGGCACCGTTTTAATTTCATTTATAAGATAATTCAGAACATTACTTATTCATGTGTTCTCGACATAAATTTTATGAAAAATAATGGAAGGAATGCATTTCTAACAACCGTGTTAATTAAATTTGAGAAAATGAGACGTAAGCCACTGACCTGTAATTTTTCAACTTAATAGACGTTAACATGGCTTAAAACATTTGTTTACACGCTATTAAACAAAATAAATTTCATAATTAGTCCACAAAGTCGTTATAAATCAGAATTAAAAAGTACAATTTTTCAAGACCATAATTAAGTAATAAAAAAAATACATATCTAAATATTAATTTTAACTATAAGTGTAACTGTCTCACTTGAAATTATTCTACTAAATTATAAAGCTTTATTTTCACTTCGACGACCTGCCATACTTTGCACAGAAAAGGAAATATCCAACTATCAAATGTTATTAACCCACACCAAGCAAATAAGGAAGTAACAATGTGTGGCATTAAATAATTTGTTTTTTATTGATGACCCGAAGAAATTTAATATAAACAAATGAAAGTTTCATAGAACGCATAAGTAATTTTGAAAAAATTTTGATAGTACTTCGTCAACACATAAACAATCTGTCGATTTTTGGAATCAATTTTTGTTTGTTTGTTTATTTTAGAAATGGAGAGAGAATTTCACTTTTTTGCGCCACATATAAGTGAAAATTTTAAATATGGTCAATTGCATCAGGCAATAAAGCCGTGACAAGCTTTACACGTTTTAACATTCTTCAGATTTTTATTACTTAGATACATAAATACATAAAAACTTGTTTCCGGAGCGAGAGTGATCTGTCCTTGATGAAATGTCTAATGGACTAAATTTTCTAATATTACGTTACGACATTCCAAGGACGCTGAAAATTAATCTTTGGAAAAGCAGCCACTCTCCAGTGTCATCGTCGTCGTAATTAGTGTAAGTGCCAAAGCCGCTTAACAACTCAATTACAAGACGTAAACTGGGTTAACAATGTTATTGTATGAAGATGCGAACTGTAGCTTTCCAAAGCCAAAATCCATCATTTTCGTTCTTGATTTTCGCCAAATCTCACCGCAATAAACCTCGACTCATCTTTAATAAACTTCTAACGAGTCTTCCCATAATTGTTTCCTCGACTATCTCCTCTGAGACGCTCGCCGCCCCTCAATCACATGATAATTACAACGGAAATGCGAATTTCACGTATCTCGCCATCTCATTATCCTGTCGTGTGTAATCCTCCTCAGTCGAAGCGCAACTTTCTACATTATCTGGCGATGATGCATACAAATGTAAAAAATCGACCTCCTGTAATCCACGCTGACCATTAAACATTCCATTATTGAAATTTCTAATCTGACGTAACTGCGCATTCTTCGGTAATAAACCAAAATCGGTGTTACCACACAGCAAAGCGACGCCGTCGGCCTTCGTTCTTAGAAAGCTGCGCCAGCTTTGAAGAGCGTACCTTGATCTTGGGAGTGAAAGTGGCCGCATGCTGGAGCCACCATGAAATTGAAAACATAGATGAGGCGGTTGGGTTACGCAACCGGAGAAAGTGAGGAATTTTTACGGACTGAAACCCCGCTTAGAAAAATTCGGTTTATTGTACTTAGAACTAAACAAATAACAATATAAAAGCTTAAAAATAACAAGAATCAACTCACTGGCGAACCTGATATATACAGCATTTGTACTAGAGGATAAGAATTATGTACAGAAAACTAGAGAATAACGAGATCAGTCCCAGCCGTGGTGGTCGTGGTGGTGGACCGCCACCCAGACCTTCTCCCAGATGGGTTTCGAGACCTTCTTCCAGGCTGGGACCTCGATGCTCTTCCACACCGGAACGGAAATCTTCTTCCACACGTCCTTCCAGATTTGCTTCTTCTCGGTGACCCAAACCTGTTTCTTTTCGGTGCGCCAGATCTGGACCTTCTCGTGCTTCCAGATCAGCTCTTTCTTCGGGACCCAGATTTGCTTCTTTTCCGTCCTCCAGATCTGCTCTTTCTTCGGAATCCAGATTTGTTTCTTTTCGGTTCTCCAGATCTGCTTCTTTTCAGTTCTCCAGATCTGCTTCTTTTCCGTCCTCCAGATTTGTTTCTTTTCGGTTCTCCAGATTTGTTTCTTTTCGGTACGCCAGACTGTCTTCCAGTCGGGTTTCCACTCTAGTTTTTTCTTCGGAATCCAGATTTGTTTCTTCTCGGTTCTCCAGATCTTCTTCCATACAGGTTTCCAGACGAGTTTCTTCTTCCACAGGTCGTGTGCAGTGTATTCGCTGCCGTGGTGATCTTTGCCCAAATAGTGCTCTCCAGGGATGCCCTCCTTTACCCATTCCGGCACCCAGATTTTCTTCCAGTCGGGAACTTGGATTTCTTTCCAAGCGGGTACTTGGATTTCTTTCCAAACGGGAATCCAGATTTGTTTTTTGTCCGGGACTTGGATTTCTTTCCAGTCGGGGACTTGGATTTCTTTCCAGTCCGGCACTTGGCGCTCCACCCAGTCCGGTACTTGAATTTCCTTCCAGTCTGGAACTTGGATTTCTTTCCAGGCGGGAACTTGAACTTCTTTCCAATCAGGGACTTGGATTTCCTTCCAAGCGGGGACTTGAGTTTCTTTCCATATCGGTTTCGTTATGGTCTTCCAGTCTGGAACTTGGTGCTCTTTCCAGATGGGTACTTGTATCTCCTTCCAAGCGGGTACTTGCGACTTCTTCCATTCTGTTTTCCAGATGAGTTTCTTTTCGGTTTTCCAAATCTTGACCCATTCCGTCTTCCAGACTAGTTTCTTGCTCCAGTAGCCTTCGGGTTCATGGTGGGATCTTTTGACGCGCGAGAGACCAGCAGGGACGCTTCCGATCGGGGCAACGAATACGCACCCAAGGGTGACCTTGAAACAAAAGAGATTACCATGAGGGTCGAACAATTACCTAGGGTTAGTAATCCGTTATCACGTCACTATCACTAAACACTAACCAAGAGTGCCCAGCACTTCATTTTGATGTCCCCTGTTTCCGGGGTAGTGCGGCGGTAAACGCTGTTGATTTACTGAAGTCCGTATCACAGTGTTCACGTTTTATACCGGGCAATCTTTTGCATTACTTTCCCCCCAAATAGTCAAGAGCTCGACGCTTTTGTGAGGGGGGCGGCGTTTTCAGGTACCACTTTCTTCTCAAGGTGGGATCGTGACTACACTTCCTACCGTTTGCCTTTTTCTCGATCCTCGCACTTCCGATTTATTTTTGCCGATAATCGGAGCAGAATCCGAAGGTTAAGTCAAGTTTAGGTTGCGCAACGCTTTCTTCGCGGAAAACCGCCTCCATTTCGGGCAATTCGCAGATTAGCGCATTGTTAGTCGTACCCGAGATAATCATCTGCTTGGATTTTCACCATATTGTGTGCACCACAACGGGACGCATCCAGACTTTCTAATGTGACTTAATTAAAGCCACCAGCGCAATTACAATCTGGCATTTTTCGGCAGCCTGAACCCGGACCACGCACCGGAAAGTACCATTTCACTGATTGCGATACGTATTGACACATTGACGGTACTACCGTGCTTTTTTCGCAGCCGAAGAAAGCACGCTGGACGATTAACATAAACACAATCGAGAGAAATTATTTACAGTCGGATCATTAATCCGGTAACGAGAGTTAAATTTGAGGAAGCTCGCCGGAAGGGCGGATCTGGAAAGAAATTAGAGCGAAGTTGCGACATCTAATTTTTTCTCGAGATTGATTAATTAGGCGAAGAAAGTTGGGTTAGATTTGGTTTTTAAATATTCAAGATCAATGTTGAGACATTGATGGCGAGAGGAATATTTAAAAATATGCAAAGCGTGCAAGGTGTTGGTTTCTGCGGACTTATCGCGTGTGGAAAATGAATGGTACTTGGAGCGTGGAAGTAGCTATTATGTGGGTTTGTTGGTACTAATTAACGCTTGAATAAGATTTGCTAATTTTGTAATGGTACAGGTGCCTAAATGTGGGCGCGGAAGTACTGTTTTTAAACATAATTTTAGAATTGTAGTATCATTTATAAACAAACAAAGTAATAACAATGCGCTCCTACGGAGAAAACCTGTTCAGCTCACGCGTTTACGATTTTTGTGAATATGAGAACGCACTTTAATAAAAAAGAAAGGTTATGTGTTAATCGACGTCATCTGATATTATTACTGTAATAAGAAAATTTCTAATTGGAAAGTTATGCTCAAAAACGAAGTACACGTGTTGTGATAAACTTAATGACATTCAGCAATTATGTGTACTATTTTTCCTTGTTGGGGTCGTACTTATTTCAAAAGTATCTTTGAGATATTCGAGAACGCGGTTCAACACTAACCCGTCAAGGATGTCACTCACAACATTACATTTCAGTATTTTCAACGCCATATTGGTGCATTGTGTAAAATGTTGTTTAATCGGGTTTTTACCATATAACACAGTCGCAGTAGACGTAAAAGCATCCAGACGGGTCCACTGAAGATCTAGGGAGAGGGAAGTGTCAGGCAATATTTTATGTACGACGATATTCGATTGCCAATTCAAACCCTATTTGTTGATCCCGCTGTATAATTTTAATTGTAATTCTAGCGACTAACAGTATTCTGACGGATTAGACAGAACTAATCAGGAAGTGTTTGATTTGAAAGTTATGCACCAAAGTCATATTTATTTAAATAATTGCATTTTTATTGACAGAAGTCTGACTGTTTTGGTATTTTTAAACAGGAAGCGTGTATTTGGAGAAGAAATTTTGACACCTTACCTTAATAAATGCGAAAAGAATTCAACACCAACTTTGCAATTTTGAACACAGGGTCATTAATTTCCAAATTGTCCCTCTCATTTTTTCTTAGAGAAAATTTTTGTTTTTAATAATTTTGGAGAAATTGTTGCTGACTTAACCTGACCTGACCTGACTTAACTTAATCTGACTTGAACTAACTTGACATTACCTGTAGAGAACTGAGTGTATGTGACCTAATCTGAGCTGAACTGACCTAATGTGAGCTGATTTGACTTGGTTTTACCCAATCTGGCTAGAATATATAGATAAATCTAATCTTTTTACTTTCCGAACGTATCGTCAATTTTATGTTTTTTGGACGTCTTATGACCCCTAGAGTACGAAAAAATAGGTCTCCTGTTTGTCGTCTGTCAAATTTTACACGTATGTTAGGAATATCGTGTAGATGGTGAAATGGTAACCAAAACCTGGCTAAACAACTCAATCAACAACAAAAATTGTGTAACAATGAAACTGTAAACCAAAATAAAAATTACAAAACTGAAAATAGAGAAAGCGAAAAATTATAAAATCGAAAAATTGCAATAAATTGAAGAAATGGAAACTTGTTAAAATGAAATGAAAAAGTGAAGAAATGAAGAACTGAAAATTTTAGAGGTGGAAAAATCGATAAATTTAAAAAGCAAAACATTGAAAAACAAAAAATTAAGATATCCAGAAAATAAAAAATGGAATAATTGTAAAATTAAAAATTGCAAACCGAAAAATTCAGGAAATAAAAATTGAAAAATCGAGAGAACAGTCAACAACGAGATCAGGTCATCTGAAAAATTTAATAGTAAAATTGAAATATTTAGAGATCGAAAATTGAAAAGTTGAATACTAAAAATTGGACTATTTAAAAATTGTATAACAAAGAAATTGTAAACCAAAAGAAAAACTGCAAATCGAAAAATTTTAGAAGTAAAAATAGGAAAAACCGAGAAACTGAAAATAGAGAAATCCAAAAATTGCAAATCAAGAAATTGAAGAAATGGAAACTTGTAGAATTGAAATAAAAAAGTGAAAGAATGAAGAACTGAAAATTTCAGAGGTGGAAAAATCGAGAAATTTAAAAAGCAAAACACTCAAAAGTAACAAAATTAAAATATCGAGAAAACGAAAAATAGAATAATTGTAAAATCAAAAATTGTGAAGCAAAAATTCAGGAAATTAAAAATTGAAAACTTGGAAAATCAAAAGTTGAAAATTGAGAATCTGGAAATATAGAAATTGGAAAATCTGGGGTCCGCCTAGTTTTGTTTTCTCGACACCTTATGATTCCTAGACTTGGAACAAATAGGTCTCCCATTTCCGTCTATTTGTCGTCGATCTGTCGATGTTTGTCGTCTGTCGTCTGTCAAATTTTGCACGTATGATAGGAATATCGTATAGATGGTAAAATGCTAATCAAAATGTGGCTAAACATCGCAGTCAGCAACGGGATGAGGTCATCTCAAAAATTTAATAGTTAAATTAGAATATTTAGAAATCGAAAAATCGAAAAGTTGAAAATTCAAAATTGGACTATCAAAAAATTGTATAACAAAGAAATTGTAAACCGAAACAAAAATTGCAGATCGAAAAATTTTAAAAGTAAAAATAGGAAAATTGAAAAATCAACACGAAAAACTTAGAAACTGAAAATAGAGAAATCGGAAAATTATAAAGTCGAAAAATTGCAAATCAAGAAATTGAAGAAATGGAAACTTGTAGAAATGAAATCAAAAAGTGAAAGAATGAAGAACTGAAAATTTCAGAGGTGGAAAAATCGAGAAATTTAAAAAGCAAAACATTGAAAAGTAACAAAATTAAAATATCCAGCAAACGAAAAATCGAATAATTGTAAAATCAAAAATTGTGAAGCAAAAATTCCCGAAATTAAAAATTGAAAAATTGGAAAATTAAAAGTTGAAAATTGAGAATCTGGAAATATAGAAATTGGAAAATCCGGGGTCCGCCTAGTTTTGTTTTCTCGACGCCTTATGATTCCTAGACTAGCAAAAAATAGGTCTCCCATTTCCGTGAATTTGTCGTCGATCTGTCGATGTTTGTCGTCTGTCATCTGTCAAATTTTGCAAGTATGTTAGGAATATCGTGTAGATGGTGAAATGCTAACCAAAATTTGACTAAACATCACAATCAACAACGGGATGAGGTCATTTCAGAAATTTAATAGTAAAATTGGAATATCTAGAAATCGAAAAATCGAAAAGTCGAAAATTAAAAATTGGACTATCCAAAAATTGTATAACAAAGAAATTGTAAACAGAAACAAAAATTACAGATCGAAAAATTTTAGAAGTAAAAATAGGAAAATTGAAAAATCAACACGAAAAACTTAGAAACTGAAAATAGAGAAATCGGAAAATTATAAAGTCGAAAAATTGCAAATCAAGAAACTGAAGAAATGGAAACTTGTAAAAATGAAACGAAAAAGTGAAAAAATGAAGAACTGAAAATTTCAGAGGTGGAAAAATCGAGAAATTTAAAAAGCAAAACATTGAAAAGTAACAAAATTAAAATATCCAGAAAACTAAAAATCGAATAATTGTAAAATCAAAAATTGTGAAGCAAAAATTCAGGAAATTAAAAATTGAAAAATTGGAAAATCAAAAGTTGAAAATTGAGAATTTGGAAATATAGAAATTGGAAAATCTGGGGTCCGCCTAGTTTTGTTTTCTCGACGCCTTATGATTCCTAGACTTGGAAAAAATAGGTCTGCCATTTTCGTCTATTTGTCGTCGATCTGTCGATGTTTGTCGTTTGTCGTCTGTCAAATTTTGCACGTATGTTAGGAATATCGTGTAGATGGTGAAATGCTAACCAAAATTTGGCTAAATATCTCAGTCAATAACGAGGTGAGCTCATCTCAAAAATTTAATAGTAAAATTGTAAACTGAAATAAAAATTGTAAATCTAAAAATTTTAGAAATAAAAATAGAAAAATTGAAAAATCGAGACGAAAAACCTAGAAACTGAAAATCAAGAAATTGAAGAAATGGAAACTTGTAGAAATGAAATGAAAAAGTGAAGAAATGAAGAACTGAAAATTTCAGAGGTGGAAAAATTAAGAAACTTAAGAAACAAAACATTGAAAAACAACAAATTAAAATATCCAGAAAATGAAAAATCGAATAATTGTAAACCGAAAAATTCAATAAATAAAAAATTGAAAAATTGGAAAATCAAAAGTTGAAAATTCAGAATCTGGAAATATAGAAAATGAAAAATCCTAAGCGAGTCCATCCGGCGGCCGGCTAG